CATGGGCAAGAAGGTGCAAGGAAGGCAAAGCCAACTTAAAAATAGCACTAATGAAAGTTAATAAGGAGGGAATGTAAGAGAGGAAACTGGAAAAGTCACAGCTCACAAATGAAAGATGCATGGAAGCCCCTAAAGAAAATGTGATATTCATGCTTGAAGAAGGCAAGTGAATGGTGCTGTAGAAAATTAGGGCACTGCCCCAGACCCATCAAACAAAGCTCGATTGTATGTGTTGGGTGTGTTCTGTTTGATCCCAAAATAGAGTCGATACATCAAGCCCCATTATGCGGCTGGGGTAATCGTCTTGGCCTGTATAATTTTATAGTCGGCACTTCCTTCGCCTATTCAGATATTAATCTCTGCCAGTTTAGCAGGCAGGGATTTACATATTTTACCAATTTAAATGGGCTCTATCTTACCTTTGTATCGATTCTGTCTGCAACAGAGACTACATCTTTGGAAAGCCAGTTCTGTATATCTTCTCTTTGTAAGACAGCGGAACCTTTATAAATTAGCCAGCCTCACTCACAAGAGAAGGAGGCATTATGATTTAAACCCTTGGTCCATCCTTGCATTTCAAAGGCTGACCATAATGGTAAGTTTTAATTTGCAAATCACAAATTCTGTCATGCCCAAATCACAATTCAAAGATATCCCAACGTTTCATCTTGAGAGAATCACAAGAAACAAGTATGGGGGATCATGTGAATGGAAAACTTCAGTGCCCCCAAAAGACAATTGTAATTAAGTCAACTCTGACTCACAGGAATCCTATAGGAGCTTCATATTAATCTTTATAACATCAGATAGCCTCATCTTTCTTCTGCAGAACACTGGTAGGTTTGAACCTCCAACCTTGCAGTTAACAACCCAACACCTAACCCACAGAGCACACATGCACACACACACACACACAGAAAGAATTTACCCAAATGTGCAAAAACAATGATACTTTGACATCCCATTCATAATTATACCTCATTACTTCTACTTTAGATGTATACAGTCTTAGTGAGAATCACTACGTTTCCTAAAATATACATCACTTGTTTTGAATGAAGCTCCAAATACAAGGGGGGGAAAAAACTATTGTAACACTATTTTGTAACATTAAATAAGATCTGTTGCTTATCATTTTGTCTCTCTGTGGAGGAGCAAAAACCAACAAAGGATATATATATTTTTTTTTCCAAAGAAATGGCTCATGCAGTGGTGCAAGTTGGCAAGTCCCAAGTCTGTGGGTTAGGCATCAGGTCGGAGCTTCTCCTGATCCGTGTGTTTGAAGGCACTAGGAAACTCAAAACCTGTAGGGCAGGCAACAGGCTGCTGACTCACATCCCAGGAACCAGGGGTCAGACTGTGATGAGTGGGATGCAGGATAGAGTGACAGTAAGCTTTGCCAAAACATCCATATATAATTGGATGAAGGCCATACTCCCAATGAAACTCATCTTCCAACTGATTAGCTCCTCATATCAGATCACAAAACGGAGGCTAATTGCAACATATCTGACAAATCACGGAGAATCCTGGCCTAGTCAACTTGATACAGAACCTTAACCACCATAGCCCACCCCTCTCACCTTTGCACCTATCTCCATCTCCTTAAATCATACACAATCCCTAAATAAATTCAATCACAAAAACATAATTAGGCCTAACATGAGACAGTGAACATGCATACAACTAAAAGTACACAGATAGTTGGTATGCACAAATATGCCCATACATTCTCATATAACAAAACATCAAAGAAATACAAAAAACAA